ATAGACATATCTATATATATATATATATATATATATATATATATATATATATATGTCACGGTGTGGTGTGGGAGAAACGCACGAAGATGAAGGTAATTCGTCCTTAAGGTAATCCACAATAGGAAGGCATAAACACACGTAGACGTAGACGAGACAAAGAAACACTGAACAGAATACAACTTATATGGGGAACGTAAATGAGGATAATTGACGAGACATACCTAAACATAATGCCACAATTAGACATGGACGGAAAACTAGGTCACAATGAGCAAATGGGGAAGGAAACACAATAAACAGTCCATGGGGTGTGACAATATATATATATATATAAGAAAAACATTAAAATAATAACTTACTGAAAGTTTCATACCACAAAGCTAAATTACCCAGTTTAAAATATGATTCTCTTTCTTTTCTTTCTTTTTTTTACAAGATTTGAAATCACCTTATTTGAGATGTCAAGATGGTGCTTGGTATGAAATGTTAAAATGTTATTCTTACAACAAACACCATCTAATAACATATCCTAACAGGTAAGAAAAAAAATCTAATGAATTTTGATAATCTTTCTCTAAATCTGAACCACACATAAATTATATCTATGAAAAAAAACAAAAACCTTGCATTTGAAAACTGTCAAAAAGCCAACTTGCAATAGTAATTACATTTAAATGAAATTTCTATTTCTACTTCTACTTTTTATGTTCAGACATAGAAGTTAAAAAGTAATTGTCTTACCAGACTGCTTTACATATGTGGACAGTTGGGATTTTACACTGGTTTAATGTCAAACTTTCTTTTATATGCTTCTGAACACAAAATTAATTTGCATGTTGACTTGAGAAACAAGCACAACCACAACACTAAGCCAATCACTAATGCTCATGGCCACACAATGTCATGACATCAGAGTTTCCAGTCTGATGGATTCATCAACATTCTTACTTCCTACTACAACTCAGGAATAAGTCAGTAAATTATGATACATTGATTTTTGAAGAACCACAATCTCTCTCTGTGTGTGTGTTGATGCCTCAGGTTTTCCGTACATTGTAGGGACAATATTTCCCCACCGGAATAGTAATACCAGAAATGTTTTTATCTTGTGGGGACATTTATAGTCCCCATGACAAATACAGCTTATAAATCATACTAAATTATGTTGTTTGAAAATGTAAAATGCAAAAAGATTTCTGTGAGGGTTGTGTTTTGTGGTAGGGGATTGTACATTGAGCTCAAGTCAAGTCAAGTCACCTTTATTTACATAGCGCTTTTAACAA